GGAAACAGGGGAAAGCAGCAACTGGAATTTAGGTGACCTGAAAGTGGCGGATCCATTCTATTTAGGAAGGAGAGAGGTAAGTGAGCACAGTGGATATCCTGGGAAGGATCACCCCCTGGTTAACCAGTTTAGGGTGCAGCCTGATGTTCAAACACATCAACAAGTGCGGAGGTCTCACTGGGTGGTAATTCAGAGGCTCAGGCTAATATTCTGGGGATATGGTTAAAACTGAACTTAAATTTAATTCATAAATAATTGGAATTGAAAGCTAGTCTCTGAAATGGTGACCGTCACTTATTGTAAAAGCCCATCTGGTTTGTTAATGTCCTTTAGGGAAGGAAAGTGGCCCACCTTTCCCTGGTCTGGCCTACGTATGACTCACAACCCACGCCAATGTGTCTGTCTCTTCGCTGCCCTTTGAAATGGCTCAGCAAGTCAAGGGGCAGCTAATGTTGGCCTTACCAATGATGCCCACATCCCACGTACTGGTGAGTCATCTCAATGACTACGTCTCTGGTTCAGTTTCCACCTCACTGACTTGTTGTTGTTTGTTGGGATTTTATAATTCGGATTCTATTCAAGGAATAGCTTGGTCCCTCCAGCCTGCTCCCCCCAATTCAGTAAGATCAACACACCAACTCTTGATAATGTTCCATCCCTTTCTGCTTATTGAGAATCTCTCTACCTCCACCTCAAACATGGCCAAGAACTCAGTTTCCATTGTCTTTTCAGCAACAGACAGCCACTCTTGATTCTAGAAGTGCCTGGTCTACCTCATAACGGTAAAGGTATCTAAAGGCTGCTCCACACTGCTGACAGAGCAACAGGAGCGGTGTTCGCCATTAACTGGAAAACACCAATGCGATAGCCTGCCGATTAAGCCACTAGGTAATGTGGTAGAAGAGTTTCAGTGCCAGTGCTATGTAGGCCATATGGCACAAAGGCTGGTAGATCATAAATGCACGTCCCTTCAGCTGTAAAGTACCGACTGTACCGCACTAGCAAAACTGCTGCACGGTATCCAACATGAGATGTGATTCCACAATCAGATAACATTTGCAGGACAAGCCTAAGTGTGTGAGGAATTAGCAGACAATCAATGAATCACCATCAGTTGGGTGCACAATGTGGTCGTTACACATATTAATGTAGAGGAACACATCAGGCCAGGCAGCATGTTTTGGGTCAGGAAATGTCAGCTTTCCTGCTCCTCTGACACTGCCCTGCCTGCTGTGTTCAGCCAGCTCCACACTGTGTTATCTCTGACTCCAGCATCAGCAGTTCTTACTGTCTCTTAATGTAGAGGGTCCTGTTATTTTCAGCCAGAAAGAATGTATACACTGGGCATGAACACAACAAGAACAGGTACACACACTGTGACAGATGACAGCAATTTGATGGCGTATTTCTCAGAGCAATACTCCAATCAGTGTCAACCTGTCTGGCTTAAAGTTTAAACAAAGCCTGGTAGTCAACTGTCAATCAACATTAACTGGTGCATTCTCCATGACAGCACGTCTACCAATCAGGCTCCACTTGCTAACCAATCAGCACTCCCCTCTCATTTAATATAAATGCCGCTTTTTGTTCTCCTTGAATTGGTATTCTTGCAAATTGCCCTGATGAGGGCACATTGAGAAACTTTGATAAAATATCTTTTTTCACCAATACCCACCTTACCAAGTGGCTATTAACTTTTTTCAGTTAACTACAGATGGCCAGTCTTACCCTTCAATATGTTTTTCAGTGGAATGGTATCTATTCTGGAATATCCCCTTAAAATCTGCTATTGTGCCTCCGCTGACCTGTCCTTTAACCAAAGTTTTCAGCTCTACTTTCATGTCCTCATAACTGCCCTTAGCTACGTCAATATTAATAACTTTGATCAATTCCTCTTTCCCACAAATTCAATGTAAAATTCAATCATTTTATGATTGCTTCTGCCTGCAGGCATTTTAAATAAGTGGTCATTCATTAATCCTGTCTCATTACACACTCAAAGACAGCTGGCTCTCTGGTTGGGTACAGAATGTGCTATTCTCTGAAACATCTCTAAACCCTGAACTCCACAATCCCACCTACCCTGATAAACTATGACCCCTTTAATAAAGGATCCATCTATCTCTGCCTTGAAAGTATTCAATAACCTCACCCTTACTGCTCTCTGGGGAGAACAATACAACAGACTGGCAACCCGTTGAGAGAAAACAAATCCCTCATTCTCCCCTTATAGTTGGGTAACCCCTGCATTTTCAAACTGTGGCCCCTAGTTCTAGCATCTCCCACACAAGACTAAGTACCCTAACAGAACACAGTATTGTAGTGAAGGAAATGGAACGGAGGGGACACAAAGTTGGAAGGGGTTAATCTGGATCTCCGTGGAGCTGGGACAGGGAATGGGATATTCAGCTCGGTGACAAGGCTGCTCCAGTTTCCCTATAGCTGAGCTGGAACAGATGGATGTGCTACAGACCAGTGTTTAACAGAGGACTGCAATGACACATGGCACCAACCAGAATAGTAATCCTTGGGATCCTGAAGCAGGAGTTAATATAAAAGTCTTTTTTGCTGAAGACTTTGAAATGAATGAGTAGATGAGATATCTAAAACAGGGAAAGAAAACTTTAAAACCAAGGGCTTTTGGAAGGGAGCTTT